TAAAAAAAAAAAAAAAAAAAAACTTTTTTTAACATTTCTTTTTGAGAGACAGAGTGTGAGCAGGGGAGAGGCAGAGAGAGAGGGAGACACAGAATCCAAAGTAGGCTCCAGGCTCTGAGCTGTCAGCACAGAGCCTGGTGTGGGACTCGAACTCATGAACTTGTGGGATCATGACCTGAACCGAAGTCAGATGCTTAACCAACTGAGCCACCCAGGCACCCCTGTACCTTGCTTTTTTAAAAAAAACAGTGTTTCTTAAAGAATTTTCTGTATCAGTACATGAAGAACTTCCTTATTCTTCTTTTATAGTGGCACATTTTCCATTGTATGAATGGATAATAGTTTATTCAACCAGTTACTTACTGATGAGCATTTAAGTTGTTTCCCATCCTTTGTTAATACAAACAATGCTGCAGTGAAAAACCTGGTCATGTATTACCTCATGTGGATGCAAGTATGTCTATAGGATAAATTCTCCAAAGTGGAATGGCTGGCACAAAAAATGTGCATTTGTAATTTTGGTAAATATTGCTACATTGCCCTCCACAGTCGGGATAAGGAGCTTGGGGCAGGGGTGTGTGGGGAGGATGGAAAACATTACTGTGGGGTCGTAGTCCCTTTACCTAAAACTCACCACTGTTTCTCCGCATAAGATAGTTTGGTTCCTTCCCCTGGCACATAAAGGATCTTCAATACCTGGTCACACTTTATCTTCCTAACTTCATCTCCTGCCATTCCCTGAACTACTAGCACATTCCCAACTACACCTTGATCTTTCTTCCTTACAAGAGCTAACTCAGCTACATCATGGCTTTCTTTGGCTGTATTCTGCCCTACCCATTCTCTGTGAACCCTTAACACTCTTTCTGTACCTCCTGTTAGAACACTTCTCACACAACCGTGTTATTTAGCATTTTCTGTAACAGAATAACGAGTGAATGGAATGAATGCCTGAATGGCCAGGTGGGCATTGGAATGTAAGGAACTGCCTGTTCTACATGGGAACAAGAATGGTTAGAAGTACACTACGTGTCAAGGACTGGATTGTTCTCACTTTGCCTCTGACTACTGCCCCTCTTAGCTCCTGATCTCCTTGGCACTAAATCTCTGCTGAGGTTTGGTTACATTCCCATATCTTGAAGTGATGAAAATATACTCACCTGCCCTCTCTTCCCTCAGCTACTTTGTAACTGTTTCTGTTTTGTTTTGTCTTGTCCAGCAGCCATTATCAGAGAAGGTAACTTTCCAAATGTCCTTTACTCACTTTATTATTGAACTGACAGACTTTCCTTGCCAGAGACTAAATATGATGATATCTATATGCCCTAAAAACACCCCAGGAATTAAAAAATCTTCATGTCTACAAGGTAAGCTGACAGAAGAATGATAAATCCATGTGAAAAACTGCTGAAGCTGTTAAAATATTCAAATGTTTTCCAGCCAGAGATAGAAAAAT